GGTGGGACAGGAGAGCATCGGAAGGCAGCGGGAGGGGAGGAGCCTTCCCGCTACATGTAAAAGAGATCCAGCGGCTATTTAGCCGCTAGGATCACTTTTCCATAAATGTGAATCTGCAGCTAAAAAGAAAAAGACATTGGGATGATGTAGCTGCAGGCATCATCCTGGTGTACCCGCTGAACCTCCAGGAATTCATAGGACGTCCTATGGGCAGCAAGTGGTTACTACAGCAGTATTAAACCCAAAACAAACGTGTCTTATATTGCAGCTTATCTTTTCTCATTGTTAGATGTTGTGGCTGCATTCATTTTCTTTTTAGGCTTTTTTTTTATTTTTGTCTGGTGATCAAGCCAGTAAGTCTGCTGTTTTTCAAAAGAACAAGCTCTCTTGCAGATGTAGCAGTTAGAGGGCTCAGACAAACCATTTACCGCTGACAAGGGGTGCTTACAATGATCAGCTTTTATTTATTTATGTAAAAACCTTTATCCTGAAAGGAAAAAAAAACTGTTTGCTGTAGCCAGGACTGGGTCACTTAGAGCCCAGGGAGAACTTGACAAACTACTGCTGCCCCCCCCCCCCCCAAGGTGTATCAGCATTATGTGTCAGCAAAAATCCCCCCCCCCCAAAAAAAAAATAAAGCCACTAATTTAATCTGTATCACATGCACTCTTCCAGAGAAAAAAAAAACTCTCTAGAAATACACACCAAACTGAGCATGTGCAGCTTGCCCCCAAGGCTCTGTTCTATCAGGATATGAATTGGGGACAATAGAAAAGGGGAGGATCAGAGAGACAGGATCAAACATTCTCTTTACACAATACGGAGGATTAACCCCTCAGGTTATAACAAGCATGCTGTACTGCATCTACAGACTGATTTCACTGTTGGGGGTTTAGTGACACTTTAATATTTGAGTCAGGAATTCCAGAAAGTAGCGGCCAAGGGCACCCTATGGGAGACACGTCTGGTCTAATGACGCCTAGATACAGCATGGCGCACACAGACAAATAAAACACAACAGATATGGCGACACCCCCGTTACATCAGCAATCCCCTCTAACACAACGCTTCATTAAAACCGAAATAATACAAAAATAGGCTAAATGAGTTCATAATTGTCCATGAAATACACAAAGCAGGCAGCTCCGCCACGGGACTGGAATAAATCCCTGCAAAGACCATAGGAAACACAAGGGGGCGCCACTAAGTGTAGCGTTAGAAGCAACTTTATTAGGACAGCTGAGTATGCCCTCACATCAATCCGCGAACAAATCGCATCACTGGAGGGATCGTCCGCACACCAGAGATGAATGCCAGCGGCACAGATGGGAGATCCGGGCAGCCGCACTTCAGCCATAACCCGGTAAACCACTTTCTTACCATAACTTATATATGCGTATTGCGCTCGGCAAGTGGTTACTGATACAACCATCAGTCCCTCCTCCGGGGTGCTAGGTGCAATCCTGGACTCTCTCCTTTCGGCCCCAAATCCAATCACTGTCCAAATCTTGTAGACTTCACCTCCGTAACATCTCCAGATTAAGCCCCTTTTTAACCAATGAAACAACTTCTTCACTTCCTTGTTATTTCTCACCTTGACTATTGCAACTCCCTTCTCATAGGCCGACCTCTACACCGACTATCCCCCTCCAGTATGTCATGGTTGCTGCCAGACCCATCCACCTTACCAACCGCTCAGTGTCCTCCACTAATCCCTCCACTGGCCTGCATTCAGTGTCCTCCACCCTCTCCACCAATCCCTTCATTGGCTTCCATTCAGTGTCCTCCACCCCTCTCTACAATCCCACCACTGGCTTCCATTCAGTGTTCTCTACCCCTCTCTTCCAATCCCTCCACTGGCTTCATTAAGTGTCCTTCATACCTCTCTACCAATCCCACCCTCCCTCCCCCCTCTCTCCCAATCCCTCCACTGGCTTCCATTCAGTGTCCTTCACCCCTCTCTCCCAATCCCTCCACTGGCTTCCATTCAGTGTCCTCCACCCCTCTCCACCAATCCCTCTATTTGCTTCCATTCAGTGTCCTCCACCCTTTCCATCAATCCCTTCATTGGCTTACATTCAGTGTCCTTCACCCCTCTCTACCAATCCCTCCACTGGCTTCCATTCAGTGTCCTCCACCCCTCTCCACCAATCCCTCTATTGGCTTCTATTCAGTGTCCTCCGCCCCTGTCCACCAATCCCTCTATTGGCTTACATTCAGTGTCCTTCACCCTCTCTCTCCAATCCCTCCACTGGCTTCCATTCAGTGTCCTCCACCCCTCTCCACCAATCCCTCTATTGGCTTCCATTCAGTGTCCTCCACCCTTTCCATCAATCCCTTCATTGGCTTTACATTCAGTGTCCTTCACCCATCTCTACCAATCCCTCCACTGGCTTCCATTCAGTGTCCTCCACCCCTCTCCACCAATCCCTCTATTGGCTTCTATTCAGTGTCCTCCACCCCTGTCCACCAGTCCCTCTATTGGCTTCCATTCAGTGTCCTTCACCCCTTTCTACCAATCCCTCCACTGGCTTCCATTCAGTGCCCTCCATCCCTCTCTTACCAATCCCACCACTAGCTTCCATTCAGTGTCCTTCATACCTCTGTACCAATCCGACCATCCACCCCTCTATGCCAATCCTTACACTGACTTCCATTCAGTGTCCACCACCCTCTCCACCAAGCCCTCTATTGGCTTCCATTCAGTGTCCACCCACCCTTTCCACCAATCCCTTTCATTGGCTTCCATTCAGTGTCCTTCACCCCTCTTTACCAATCCCTCCACTGGCTTCCATTCAGTGTCCTCCACCCCTCTCTACCAATCCCACCACTGGCTTCCATTCAGTGTTCTCTACCCCTCTCTTCCAATCCCTCCACTGGCTTCATTAAGTGTCCTTCATACCTCTCTACCAATCCCACCCTCCACCCCTCTCTCCCCAATCCCTCCACTGGCTTCATTCAGTGTCCTTCACCCCTCTCTCCCAATCCCTCCACTGGCTTCATTCAGTATCCTCCACCCCCCTCTCTACCAATCCCACCACTGGCTTCTTTGCAGTGTCCTTTCACCCCTCTCTGCCAATCCCTCCACTGGCTTCCATTCAGTGTCCTCCACCCCTCTCCACCAATCCCTCCACTGACTTCCATTCAGTGTCCTCCACCCCTCTCTGCCAATCCCTCCACTGGCTTCCATTCAGTGTCCTCCACCCCTCTCCACCAATCCCTCCACTGACTTCCATTCAGTGTCCTTCATCCCTCTCTACCAATCCCTCCACTGGCTTCCATTCAGTGTCTTTCACCCCTCTCTGCCAATCCTTGGGTTCTACTGGGCCCCTTTAAAAAACAGATAGAAAATCCACACACGCACGGGGCATTTGCCAGGCTTCATTAAAGCTTCAAAAAGCGTCACATGATTCATTTTGAAGCGGTGGGCGGTTGTAATGTGTGCTAAAGTCAATGCAACTGTAAACGAGTCCTAAAAGTAAAAAAAAAAAGTTACTGTCTTTTGGGGAAATGCTGTAAAGATTTTGCGATTGTGCAGGAAGGAGGAGGGGAAGAAGGTTATTAGAGGAAAAAAATTTATTGAAGAAAAGTCGACTTTAATATATCAAAGAGATCAGTCAGATTTTAAGGGAAAAAAAGTTTCTTTATTGTATTAATTGTTCTAATCCAATAAAGGACCCTTTTTCTGAAGATGTGAAATCTACTGACTAATCTCTTCGACCCATCAATGCCGGAGGCCTCTGCAACACACAGCCACCCGGGGATTTCTTGGATATTTCCTGGACAATAAATGTGTGGTTGGTTGACAGCCTTGCTGATGGATCTTGCTTGCACCTGACAGGCTGGATTTAGGCCGGGGAAAGATCACTCACAGCAATAATAATATTGTTATATAATAAAATAGCATAAGAACCCATATTACTGCTGGAATCCTACGTCAGGAGGAACTGGACCCACTTCTAAAATCTCATAGAAGCTGTAATACACTAGAATGCCGAAAATATTGGGCCGCCGGCCTTTCCGCACACATGACCTTTAATGGCCCCAGTCTTAGTCCGTAGGGTTCAATATTGAGTTGGCCCCGCCCTTCCCCTGCACATGACCTTTAATGGCCCCCAGTCTCAGTCTGCAGGGTTCAATATTGAGTTGGCCCCGCCCTTTCCACGCACATGACCTTTAATGGCCCCCCCAGTCTTAGTCCGTAGGGTTCAATATTGAGTTGGCCCCGCCCTTTCCACACACATAACCTTTAATGGCCCCCCAGTCTTAGTCTGTTGGGTTCAATATTGAGTTGGCCCCGCCCTTGCAGCTATAACAGCTTCAACTCTTCTGGGAAGGCCGTCCACAAGGTTTATCAGGAGGGTGTCTATAGGAAGGTTGGACCATTCTTCCAGAAGCACATTTGTCAGGTCAGCACTGATGTCGGGGGAGGGGCACTGATGTCGGGGGAGGGGCACTGATGTCGGGGGAGGAGGCCTGGCTCGCAGTCTCCGCTCTAATTCATCCCAAAGGTGTTTCTATGGGGTTGAGGTCAGGACTTTGTGTGCAGGACAGTCAAGTTCCTCCACCCCAAACTGGCTCCTCCATGTCTTTATGGACCTTGCTTTGTGCACTGGTGGGGCAGTCATGTTGGAACAGGAAGGGGCCATCCCCAAACTCCTCCCACAAAGTTGGGAGCATGAAATTGTCCAAAATGTCGCCTTAAGAGTTCCCTTCACTAGAACTAGGGGGCCAAGCCCGACCCTGAAAAACACGCCCACACCATAATCCCCCCTCCACCAAACTTTACACTTGGCACAATGCAGTCAGGCAAGTACCGTTCTTCTGGCCACCGCCAACCCATACATGTCCATCGGATTGCCAGACAAAGAAGCATGATTGGTCACTCCAGAGAACACACGTCTCCACTGCTCTAGAGTCCAGTGGCGGCGTGCTTTACACCACGGCATCCGACGCTTTGCATTGCACTTGGTGATGGAAGGCTTGGATGCAGCTGCTCGGCCATGGAAACCCATTCCATGAAGCTCTCTACGCACTGTTGTTGGGCTCATCTGAGGGCCACACCAAGTTTGGAGGTCTTTAGCTATTGACTCTGCAGACAGTTGGCGACTTCTGTGCGCTTCAGCATGCGCTGACCCCGCCCTGTCATGTGACGTGGCCTACCACTTGGTGGCTGAGTGGCTGTTGTTCCCAGTTGCTTCCACTTTGTTATAATCCCACTAACAGTTGAGCGTGGAATATTTAGTAGCCAGAAATGTCACGGATGGACTTATTGCCCAGGTGGCCACCTATCACCGGGACCACGCTTGCAGCCACTGAGCTCCTGAGAGCGACCCATTTCTTTCACCAATGTTTGTAGAAGCAGTCTGCATGGCCTAGGGGGCTTGATTGTATACACCTGTGTCCCATGGAGGGATTGGAACACACTGAATCACATGATATGGAGGGGAACTGAAACACCCTGAATCACATGATTGGGAGGGGATTGGAGCACCTGAATCTACATGATGGGAGGGGGATTGGAACACCTGAATCACATGACTGGGAGAGGATTGGAACACCTGAATCACATGATTGGGAGGGGATTGGAGCACCTGAATCACATGACTGGGAGAGGATTGGAACACCTGAATCACATGATTGGGAGGGGATTGGAACACCGGAATCACATGATTTGGGAGGGGATTGGAACACCTGAATCACATGACTGGGAGATGACTGAAACACAGCTGAATCACATGATTGGGGAGGGGATTGGAGCACCTGAATCACATGACTGGGAGAGAGATTGGAACACCTGAATCACATGATTGGGAGGGGATTGGAACACCGGAATCACATGATTGGGAGGGGATTGGAACACCTGAATCACATGATTGGGAGGGGATTGGAACACCTGAATCACATGATTGGAGAGGGCGGGGGACAGTACTTTTGGCAAGTGTATGTCTGTAATATTACCCCTTTAGAAGCACACGGCAGCAGCCTTCCATCCCCTGTCCCATGTCTCTGCGCCTTCTTGAAGCTCTGGCCATCCTGTGGGAGGGACTACAGTGCCTTGCCATGTAGTGACCACTCAGGATCATCCTGCCCCCCCCCCAATTTATGGGGGCGGGCTTCCTCCGTAGGCCAATCACAGTCCCCATTGGGCCCCTTTCCTCCCTGCACTGCCATCATTGCAAGGAGCAACGATCCGCAGCCGAGTTGAGACATCCTGCCAGGCTGCTTAAAGGGACCGCCGGCAAGCGCTACACTCCCCCACCCACCAAAATTATTTAGTCCCCCAAATAATTTATTTGTAAATACACATTTAATTACACAAAGCTTAACATCTGGAACCAAACTAACCACATTTATCTGGTGAAACAGACTTAATGTGCAAAATGTTCTCACACAAGATACAGGTATTGGAACTTCCCACCTTGGTGTAGCGGGGAGGAGTTGTCTCCCACTGGTATGATTACTTGCAGCACTGCAGTGGTGATACCTTCTGCTCTCTCTGGAGTTACACTTTAAATCCCATCGTGTGTGAACACCCCGCCTGCTGCCATTGCAGCTTAAAGTGATAATAAAGCCTATTTACCAAAAAAAAAAGTGTTACTAAACCCCAGACCCGGCATTCACTATATCCGCTCTCCCCGGACCCCGCATTCACTATATCCGCTCTCCCCGGACCCCGCATTCACTATATCCGCTCTCCCCGGACCCCGCATTCACTATATCCCTCTCCCCGGACCCCATAGGACCCGCATTCACTATCCCCGGATCCACTCTATATCCCCGGACCCTCACCCCGCATTCCACTCATTCACTATATCCGCTTCCTTGAACCACTCATTCACTATATCATCACGCTCTCCTTGAACCGCATTCACTACTCATTCCCGCATTCACTATATCCGCTCTCCTATATCCGCCTCTCCCCGGACCCCGCATTCACTGTATATGCGCTCTCCCCGGACCCCCATTCACTATATCCATCTCCCCGGACCCCGCATTCACTATACCGCTCTCCCTCTCCCGGACCCCCGCATTCACTATATCCAGACTCTCCCCGGACCCCGCATTCACTATATCCGCTCTCCACTCCCGGGACCCCGCATTCACTATATCCACTCTCTCAACCTCCCGGTACACCCACATCACTATATCCTCTCCCCGGACCCCGCATTCACTATATCCGCTCTCCCCGGACCCCTCGCATTCACTATATCCCCGCATCTCCCCGGACCCCTCATTCACTATATCCGCTCTCCCCGGACCCCGCATTTCCTGCTCTCACTATATCACTATATCGCTCTCCCCGGACCCCTCATTCACTAAATATCCGCTCTCTCCCGGACCCCGCATTCACTATATCCGCTCTCCCCGGACCCCGCATTCACTATATCCGCTCTCCCCGGACCCCGCATTTCACTATATCCGCTCTCCCCGACCCCGCATTCACTATATCCGCTCTCCCCGGACCCCACATTCACTATTATCACGCTATCTCCCCGGCGCCTCCGCATTCACTAGATCCCTCTCTCCGGACCCCGCATTCACTATATCACTCTCCCGGACCCTATTCACTATATCCGCTCTCCCCGGACCCCGCATTCACTATATCCGACCCCCTCATTCACTATATCCGCTCTCCCCGGACCCCGCACTTCACTATATCACCCCCGCTCATTCACTATATCCGCTCGTCTCCCCGGACCCCTCATTCACAATCCGCTCTTCTCTCACTATTATCCGCTCTCCCCCGGACCCGCTCATTCACTATATCCGCTCTCTCCCCCGGACCCCTCATTCACTATATCCCCGCTCTCCCCGGACCCCCGCATTCACTATATCCGCTCTCCCCCGGACCCCGCCATTCACTATTCACTATCTCCCCACTATATCCGCTCTCCCGGGACCCCGCATTCACTTATAACCCGCATTCACTATACTCTCCCCGGACCCCCTGCATTCTCACTATATCCGCTCTCCCCGGACCCCGCATTCACTATATCCGCTCTCCCCGGACCCCGCATTCACTATATCCGCTCTCCCCGGACCCCGCATTCACTATTATCCGCTCTCCCTGGACCCCGCATTCACTATATCCGCTCTCCCCGGACCCCTCATTCACTATATCCGCTCCGCTCCGCCCCCGGACCCCGCATTCACTATATCCGCTCTCCCCGGACCCCGCATTCACTATATCCGCTCTCCCCGGACCCCGCATTCACTATATCCGCTCTCCCCGGACCCCTCATTCACTATATCCGCTCTCCCCGGACCCCCGCATTCACTATATCCGCTCTCCCCCGGACCCCGCATTCACTATATCCGCTCTCCCCGGACCCCGCATTCACTATATCCGCTCTCCCGGACCCCGCATTCACTATATCCGCTCTCCCCGGACCCCTCATCACTATATCCGCTCTCCCCGGACCCCTCATTCACTATATCCGCTCTCCCCGGACCCCGCATTCACTATATCCGCTCTCCCCGGACCCCGCATTCACTATATCCGCTCTCCCTGGACCCCGCATTCACATTCACTATATCTGCTCTCCCCGGACCCCGCATTCACTATATCCTCTCTCCCCGGACCCCGCATTCACTATATCCGCTCTCCCTGGACCCCGCATTTCACTATATCCGCTCTCCCCGGACCCCGCATTCACTATATATCCACTCTCCCCGGACCCCGCATTCACTATATCCGCTCTCCCCGGACCCCTGCATTCACTATATCCGCTCTCTCCCCGGACCCCGCATTCACTATATCCGCTCTCCCCCGGACCCCGCATTCACATATAATCCGCTCTCCCCGGACCCCCGCATTCACTATATCCGCTCTCCCTGGACCCCACATTCACTATATCCGCTCTCCCCGGACCCCGCATTCACTATATCCGCTCTCCCCGGACCCCGCATTCACTATATCCTCTCTCCCCCGACCCCGCATTCACTATATCCGCTCTCCCCCAGACCCCGCATTCACATCACTATATCCGCTCTCCCCGGACCCCGCATTCACTATATCCGCTCTCTCCCCAGACCCCGCATTCACTATATCCGCTCTCCCCCGGACCCCGCATTCACTATATCCGCTCTCCCCCGGACCCCGCATTCACTATATCCACTCTCCTTGAACCCCTCATTCACTATATCCGCTCTCCCCGGACCCCTCATTCACTATATCCGCTCTCCCCGGACCCCGCATTCACTATATCCGTTCTCCCCGGACCCCGCATTCACTATATCCGCTCTCCCCGGACCCTGCATTCACTATATCCGCTCTCCCCCCGGACCCTGCATTCACTATATCCGCTCTCCCCGGACCTCGCATTCACTATATCCGCTCTCCCTGGACCCCGCATTCACATTCACTATATCTGCTCTCCCCCGGACCCTGCATTCACTATATCCTCTCTCCCCCGGACCCCGCATTCACTATATCCGCTCTCACTGGACCCCGCATTCACTATATCCGCTCTCCCCGGACCCCTCATTCACTATATCCGCTCTCCCCGGACCCCTCATTCACTATATCCGCTCTCCCCGGACCCCGCATTCACTATATCCGCTCTCCCTGGACCCCGCATTCACATTCACTATATCTGCTCTCCCCGGACCCTGCATTTCACTATATCAGCGGTTCTCAACCTGGGGGTCGCGACCCCCTTTGGGGGTCGAACGACCATTTCACCCAGGGGTCGCCTAAGACCATCGGAAAACACATATTTCCGATGGTCTTAGGAACCGAGACACCGCTGCAGTCTCCGGCGATGTATGTGGGCGGGGATGATACGCTGCTGTCACCCGGCCACACCTCCAAGATCGCTCAGCTGCAGCTCCGCCTCTCTCGCCGCTGATTGGCCACCGGAACTGTAGCTCAGGAGAGGCACACAGGCGGCCAATCACCGGCGAGGAGGTGGAGCTTGGAGAGGAGGAGCCAAGCGGCAGCGCGCGCGACATCAAAGAAGACCGAGGGAGCGAGTGAAGAGGAGAGCGGCCAGAGAAGGAAGACAGCTGACAGGTAAGTGAGAGAGCGAGCCCAGGCTGGAGCAGGGCGTCAGCAAGGTAAGTATCATTGGTGTCAGTGGGAGGAATAGTGCCCCATCATTTGTGTCACAAATACCAACGATGGGGCACTATTCCTCCCCCCACTGACACCAACGATAGGCACTATTCCTCCCCCCACTGACACCAACGATGGGGCACTATTCCTCCCCCCACTGACACCAACGATGGGGCACTATTCCTCCCCCCACTGACACCAACGATGTGGCACTATTCCTCCCCCCACTGACACCAACGATGTGGGGCACTATTCCTCCCCCCCACTGACACCAACGATGTGGGCACTATTCCTCCCCCCCACTGACACCTCAGTGATGGGGCTACTACTACTCCCCCCACTGACACCAGTGATGGGGCACTATACTCCCCCCACTGACACCAACGATGGGGCACTACTCCCCCCACTGACACCAACGATGGGGCACTATTCTCCCCCCCCACTGACACCAACGATGGGGCACTATTCCTCCCCCCACTGACACCAACGATGGGGCACTATTCCTCCCCCCACTGACACCAACGATGGGGGCACTATTCCTCCCCCCACTGACACCAACGATGGGGCACTATTCCTCCCCCCACTGACACCAACGATGGGCACTATTCCTCCCCCACTGACACCAACGATGGGGCACTATTCCTCCCCCCACTGACACCAACGATGGGGCACTATTCCTCCCCCCACTGACACCAACGATGGGGCACTATTCCTCCCCCCACTGACACCAACGATGGGGCACTATTCCTCCCCCCCACTGACACCAACGATGGGGCACTATTCCTCCCCCCTGACTGACACCAACGATGGGGGCAGTATTCCTCCCCCCACCCCACTGACACCAACGATGGGGCAGTATTCCTCCCCCCACTGACACCAACGATGGGGCAGTATTCCTCCCCCCACTGACACCAACGATGGGGCAGTATTCCTCCCCCCACTGACACCAACGATGGGGCAGTATTCCTCCCCCCCACTGACACCAACGATGGGGCAGTATTCCTCCCCCCACTGACACCAACGATGGGGCAGTATTCCTCCCCCCCACTGACACCAACGATGGGGCAGTATTCCTCCCCCCACTGACCCCAACGATGGGGCAGTATTCCTCCCCCCACTGACACCAACGATGGGCACTATTCCTCCCCCCACTGACACCCAACGATGGGGCACTATTCTTCCCCCACTGACACCAACGATGGGGCACTATTTCCCCCCCCCTGACCCCAATGATGGGGCACTATTCTCCCCTCCACCACACTGACATCAATGATGGGGCACTATTCCTCCCACTGACACCAATGATGGGGCACTATTCCTCCCCCCACTGGACACCAACGATGGGACACTATTTCCCCCCCCCCCCCCCCCCTGACCCCAATGATGGGGCACTATTCCCTCCCTCCACCACACTGACACCAATGATGGGGCACTATTCCTCCCACTGACACCAATGATGTGGGCACTATTCCTCCCCCCACTGACACCAGTGATGGGGCACTACTCCCCCACTGACACCAGTGATGGGGCACTATATCCGCTCCCCCCACTGACACCAGCATTGATGGGGCACTACCCCCCACTGACACCAGTGATGGGGCCGCACTCTACTCCCCCCACTGACACCAGTGATGGGGGCAATACTCCCCCCACTGACACCGTGATGGGGCACTACTCCCCCCACTGACACCAATGATGGGGCACTACTCCCCCCACTGACACCAATGATGGGGCACTACTATCCCCCCACTGACACCAATGATGGGGCACTACTCCTCCCCCGGCACTGACACCAATGATGGGGCACTACTCCCCCACTGACACCAATGATGGGGCACTACTCCCCCCACTGACACCAGTGATGGAGCACTACTCCCCCCTGACACCAGTGATGGGGCACTACTCCCCCCACTGACACCAACGATGGGGCACTATATCCTCCCCCCACTGACACCAACGATGGGGCACTACTCCCGCCCACTGACACCAACGATGGGGCACTACTCCTCCCACTGACACCAACGATGGGGGCACTACTCCGCTCCCACTGACACCAACGATGGGGCACTACTCCTCCCACTGACACCAACGATGGGGCACTACTCCCCCCACTGACACCAACGATGGGCACTACTCCTCCCCACGGACACCAACGATGGGCACTACTCCTCCCACTGACACCAACGATGGGGCACTACTACTCCTCCCCCCTGACACCAACGATGGGGCACTACTCCTCCCACTGACACCAACGATGGGGCACTACTCCTCCCCACTGACACCAACGATGGGGCACTACTCCTCCCCACTGACACCAACGATGGGGCACTACTCCTCCCACTGACACCCCCGATGGGGCACTACTCCTCCCACTGACACCAACGATGGGGCACTACTCCTCCCACATGACACCAACGATGGGGCACTACTCCTCCCACTGACACCAACGATGGGGCTACTACTCCTCCCACTGACACCAACGATGGGGCACTACTCCTCCCACTGACACCAACGATGGGGCACTACTCCTCCCACTGACACCAACGATGGGGCACTACTCCTCCCACGGACACCAACGATGGGGCACTACTTCCTCCCACTGACACCAACGATGGGGCACTACTCCTCCCACTGACACCAACGATGGGGCACTACTCCTCCCACTGACACCAACGATGGGGCACTACTCCTCCCACTGACACCAACGATGGGGCACTACTCCTCCCACTGACACCAAAGATGGGGCACTATTCATCCCACTGACATCAGTGATGGGGCACTACACTCCTCCCACCACTGCAAAATTACAGTTATGAAGTAGCAATGAAAATAATTTTATGGTTGGGGTCACCACAACATGAGGAACTGTATTAAGGGGTCGCGGCATTAGAAAGGTTGAGAACCACTGCACTATATCCTCTCCCCCCGGACCCCGCATTCACTATATACGCTCTCCCCGGACCCCGCATTCACTATATCCGCTCTCCCCGGACCCCGCATTCACTATATCCACTCTCCCCGGACCCCGCATTCACTATATCCGCTCTCCCCGGACCCTGCATTCACTGTATCCGCTCTCCCCGGACCCCTCATTCACTATATCCGCTCTCCCCGGACCCCGCATTCACTATATCCGCTCTCCCCGGACCCCGCATTCACTATATCCGCTCTCCCCAGACCCCGCATTCACATTCACTATATCCGCTCTCCCCGGACCCCGCATTCGCTATATCCACTCTCCCCGGACCCCGCATTCACTATATCCACTCTCCCCGGACCCCTCATTCACTATATCCGCTCTCCCCGGACCCCTCATTCACTATATCCGCTCTCCCCGGACCCCGCATTCACTATATCCGCTCTCCCCAGACCCCTCATTCACTATATCCGCTCTCCCCGGACCCCGCATTCACTATATCCGCTCTCCCCCGGACCCCTCATTCACTATATCCGCTCTCCCCGGACCCCGCGTTCACTATATCCGCTCTCCCCGGACCCCGCGTTCACTATATCCGCTCTCCCCGGACCCCGCATTCACTATATCCGCTCTCCCCGGACCCCGCATTCACTATATCCGCACTCCCCGGACCCCGCATTCACTATATCCACTCTCCCCGGACCCTGCATTCACTATATCCGCTCTCCCCGGACCCCGCATTCACTATATCCGCTCTCCTCGGACCCCGCATTCACTATATCCGCTCTCCCCGGACCCCGCATTCATTATATCCGCTCTCCCTAGACCCCGCATTCACTATATCCGCTCTCCCCCGGACCCTGCATTCACTATATCCGCTCACCCCGGACCCTGGATTCACTATATCTGCTCTCCCCGGCCCCCTGCATTCACTATATCCGCACTCCCCCCCAGACCCTGCATTCACTGAGTTAAAAGAAACAATGCTTCCTTTTATTTTCTTTCCCGAGATAAAAGAAACAGAGTTTCCATTTAGTTTTTTCCCGAGTTAAGAGAGAAACAATGTTTCTTTTTAGTTTCTTTCCTGAGATAAAAGAAACAAAGTATCCTTTAGCTCTGGGGAAAGTGACAGCTAATTCTGGGAGCTATAGTGAAGAAAAAAAAAGTCAGCAATTGCATTTAAAAATCGGCACCGACATACACTTCGTATTGCGAAAAAAATTCATAAACAAAATTCGTAAACTGAGGCATTGTTTTCAATGGATTTTCATTTGTAAACTGAAAATTATGGTAACCGAGGCGTTCGTAAACCGAGGTGCGCCTGTATATACATAATTTTGTATTTACAGGTAGGGGGTGGTTGCGCGGCCCTACCCATGCCGCCATTGGCGGCTACGGCTGCCGATCACCAGGTTCTGGCCGGAGATTCACCGCCGGCATGCGGCAATCGTCGAAGAACACTGACAGGAGAGGTCTGTGTGTAAACAATACCGATCTCTCTCCTGTCAGCTCCAGCATGCTGCTTTGTATGGCTCTGCATAGCAGCATGCGTACAGTGAAACGCACACAGTTAACCCTTTTTATCACCCCCTCGTGTTAACCCCTTCCTGCCCAGTGCCATTAGTACAGTGTCAGTGCTTTTTATTAGCACTGATCACTGTATCGGTGTCACTGGGGATGTCAGAATGCCCGCCGCAGTCCCGCTTTAAGTCGCTGATCGCCGCCATTACTAGTTGAAAAAAAAATTCCAGAATATATACCGCCATTTGTAAACGCTATAACTTTCACGTCAACCAATTACTTTACAAGTATTGGGATTTTTTTTTTAGCAAAGACACAGAATACATGTTGGCCGAAATTTATGATGAAATTAGATTTTTTTACATTTTTTTACTGGACGTGTTTCGTAGCAAAAAAAGTAAAAAATATTGTTGGTTTCTCAAAATTTTCAGTCTTTTTTTGTTTATAGAGCAAAAAATAAAAAATGCACTATCAAATATGATCGTGGGGGAAAAAAGGACATGAATTTCCTATGGGTGCAGCGTTGCATGACCGCGCAATTGTCAGTTAAAGTAACACAGCGCTGTATCGCAAAAAATGGGCTGGTCAGAGGGGGGGGGGGGGGGGGGGGGTGGGGGGGGGGGGGGGGGGGTAAATCCTCTGGAGGGCAAGTGGTTAAAAAAGTGCCAGGAACCCTGTAACAGAAAGTAAACTTTCTTAACCCCACATAAGCTGGAATTCACCTCCTGCACATTACACATCGCTCCAGGATAATAGATACAGTATGCCAAGGGGTCCCAGAAACAGTCCCTCCAGCCCTAATTGCATGGCAAGGGTAGCTGGTATAATTCAAGGCCAACCAGGTAAGTGATAGAACCCTCTTGGGGTAAAAGTTCCTTGTAACCCCAAGAGGGGCGTTTCCTTAGTCCTGGATCCATAGTCGGTGGGAAGGAGGCTGGCACCCCGGCCCCTCCTAGAGCCCAACTCACGGTGGTTTCCATAACAAGAGGTTTCCACGAACCAGCAGGAAAAGTACAAACACAGGTCACCCTGGCAGAAGACACGGGCTCAGCTGAAACACAGAAGCTAAGCACTAAGTCACTGGAGCTCCTGATGGTGGAGATGGGTTTTGCCGCGTGTTAGTACCAGGGCGCGGTCCTCAGGATCACCCCACCAGGAGGCAAGCCGGGGTCAAGTAACAGATGGGAGGTGGAGATCAAGCAGCTGAGGAACAAGCCAAAGGTCATCAACAAGTGGTTGCAGGTTGGGATCAAGTAGAAGCGTAGTTGAGGAACGGGCCAAAGGTCATCAATAAGTGGTTGCAGGTTGGGATCAAGTAGAAGCGTAGTTGAGGAACGGGCCAAAGCTCATCAACAAGTGGTTTCAGGTTGGGATCAAGTAGAAGCGTAGTTGAGGAACGGGCCAAAGGTCATCAACAAGTGGTTTCAGGTTGGGATCAAGTAGAAGCGTAGTTGAGGAACGGGCCAAAGGTCATCAACAAGTGGTTTCAGGTTGGGATCAAGTAGAAGCGTAGTTGAGGAACGGGCCAAAGGTCATCAACAAGTGGTTGCAGGTTGGGATCAAGTAGAAGCGTTGTTGAGGAACGGGCCAAAGCTCATCAACAAGTGGTTTCAGGTTGGGATCAAGTAGAAGCGTAGTTGAGGAACGGGCCAAAGGTCATCAACAAGTGGTTGCAGGTTGGGATCAAGTAGAAGCGTAGTTGAGGAACGGGCCAAAGGTCATCAACAAGTGGTTTCAGGTTGGGATCAAGTAGAAGCGTAGTTGAGGAACGGGCCAAAGGTCATCAACAAGTGGTTGCAGGTATAGATCAAGTAGAAGTTGTAGTGAAGATAAGGACAGCCACAGATACTCAAAGGAGCAAGATATCGGCTGGAGAGAGCACAGGAATCTGGCAGACAGGAGGTGCAGAGACATGGCTTAACCACTTCCCGACCAACCGTTGTATATAAATGGCCAGACGATGGCACTGCAGGGGCGGGTGGATGTTTATAAACGGCCTCCCCGCACCCTGCTTGTGCGCGCTCCCCGGGAGCGCGCAGCACTGCAATCCGGTGCCCACTGTGTCCTCCAGACACAGTGAAACACTGATCGTCGGACGGGACCTCTGTACGAGGTCCCGATCATGTGATCACTGATTGACCAATCAGTGATCACATGCAAAGTAGTAAGCAAGATGTCACTTGTGACATCATTGCTTACTACGTGTGAAATCTGTGAATGATCACAGAGGTCACATGGTACAGGGCCATTCACAACAGCCTTGTACCATGTGACAAGCTGTGACCAATCACAGCTCACTCAGTAGTTCTCAATGGCTGCAAGAATGCAGCCAGAGAGAAAGAGAAATGATTGTACAGCCTTTATGGGTGTAAAAAAAAAAAAAAATCTTCATCACCCCCCAAAAGTAGTACAGTGTCATCATGGTGACTGTACTGCTAGGGTGACAGTATGTAGAAAAAAAAATAATAAATGAATTAATAATAATATTAAAAAAAAAATGTAAAGAACATACGGGTACAGTGTCGCATGACCGCGCAATTGTCATTCAAAGTGTAATAACGCTGAAAGCTGAAAATTGCCCTGGACAGGAAAGGGGGGAGAAGTGTCCGGACTGGAAGGGGTGAAAGTGTCCGGACTGGAAGGGGGTGAAAGCGTCCGGACTGGAAGGGGGTGAAAGCGTCCGGACTGGAATGGGGGGAAATTGTCCGGACTGGAATGGGGGGAAAGTGTCCGGACTGGAATGGGGGGGAAAGTGCCCGGACTGGAAGGGGGGGAAAGTGTCCGGACTGGAAGAGGGGAAAAGTGTCCGGACTGGAAGGGGGGTGAAGTGTCCGGACTGGAAGGGGGGTGAAAGTGTCCGGACTGGAAGGGGGGTGAAAGTGTCCGGACTGGAAGGGGGGGAAAGTGTCCGGACTGGAAGGGGGGGAAGTGTCCGGGAAGGGGGGGGAAAGTGTCCGGACTGGAAGGGGGGGAAAGTGTCCGGACTGGAAGGGGGGAAAGTGTCCGGACTGGAAGGGGGGAAAGTGTCCGGACAGGGGGGGAAGGGGGGGAAAGTGTCCGGACTGGAAGGGGGGGAAAGCGTCCGGACTGGAAGGGGGGAAAGTGTCCGGACTGGAAGGGGGGAAAGTGTCCGGACTGGAAGGGGTGAAAGTGTCCGGACTGGAAGGGGGGAAGTGTCCGGACTGGAAGGGGGGGAAAGTGTCCAGACTGGAAGGGGGGGAAAGTGTCCTGGACTGGAAGGAAGGGGGAAAGTGTCCGGACTGGAAGGGGGTGAAAGTGTCCAGACTGGAAGGGGGTGAAAGTGTCCGGACTGGAAGGGGGTGAAAGTGTCCGGACTGGAATGGGGGTGAAAGTGTCCGGACTGGAAGGGGGTGAAAGTGTCCGGACTGGAAGGGGGTGAAAGTGGGTCCGGACTGGAAGGGAGGTGAAAGTGTCCAGACTGGAAGGGGGTGAAAGTGTCCGGACTGGAAGTGATTAAATCGGGAAATTCATTGGAGGAGCAAATGTTCATCAGAAATGAAGGACAAGGCAAGATTGTCCAAGGGTTCAGAAGGGAGCTGTCCAGAATCCCAGGTGCTACTGTGAGAAGAGCTACAGCCAGATACTGCAGAGCTCGCAGGTTCAGATCTGGACCCTGACAACTGGACTCCAATAAGTGTTTGGGGGGGGGGGGGGACAGTTAATGGGCAGGGAATACATTAAAGTAAACAGTTGTTAGACTTTAGAACCACTGT